CATAAGTTTTTTCCTAGGCTTTTGCTCATTGTGATAACTTTTTGCTGAACTTTCTCTTTCGCAATGTGAGAACCATTACATCTAGTACCAAAGATACTCTCCCCCCCCCCTTTAATGATTAAACCACCAGATCCTGTGACTTACATGGAAAAACTGTGTTGTAAATTGTGTACAATAGAATTTGTAATTGAAGTGTGGTGTTGAAATCCAATAACTTTCTCATAATTCCTCACAGTTTGTGGAAGATGATTTCCAATTACACACTCAAGCAATGTATGATCTGCTGTGCACAGCAATCGAAAATTCAGTCATTGACATTTCTTCTCAGTTTCGAATAAATCTGAAATCGGCCCTGAACCAGTCACATTACTTGTATGTCATAGAAGGTCTTTCGAGTGATGTAATGCATGATATCCTTCAGGGGGTTTCTTCACTATGAAGTCAAAGAACTCCTCAAATATCTATAGATGAGCAGCAGTTTTTCACTTTGGGAAATTTTAATTCTTGGATTAAAAATTTAGATTGTGGTTATCCAGATGTTTCCAACAAACCATGTGTTATATCAAGTGCCACCTTAAATTCCAACACTAATTCTCTCAAACAAAAGGTAAAACTTATATTATTAGTAGTTCATAGGAAATGCATTAAACTGTGTGTTGGTAATTCTGTTGATCGTAATGTGATTCTAGCTTCAGAGATGTGGTGCCTTGGCCATTTCCTTCCATAGGTGATCGGCAGCCATATGCCCCATGATGATGAGAAGTGGAATCTTCTCCCAACTCTTAGAATAGAGAACATTATAAAGTAGCTTACTCAAGGGATTTAATCACCGATCACCATACTAGATTTACCAAGTTATACCCGAATTCCTCTGTGATTCCACAGATGCACTATATTCTCCATAACCCAAGAACAATGGTTAGGTAAGTTGGAAATGAAAAATATCTAACTTTTCTTTTGATGGGTGATAGTGTTGTCACATAAATCTTTGTATTATTGTTTGGGTTTTCCATTAGTTACCTTACAGTACATGTAAAGGTTGATCATTGAAAAAAAAAAGTAAATATGTAGCATTTTGATATTTAAAGTTTAGTCTGATGGTACTGTCCTGGATGATAAGGTCTGAGCCAAAGCATGAAAGACTCAAACGGCTGGCCACATTCCTTGCAATTTCACTCACATTCCTTGGACAGTGGATCTTCATCATCAGTTGAGGCAGTGCTATGAAATATCAAGCAGTAAGCATGTTCATCCATCGATTGAAAAGTCTTTGGACCAGGTACAGGACCATTTAATACCTTTGTGTTATTTGATAATATACTGTACTTTGAGAAATTAAATCACCATTGATTATAAGCTGCCTCACATTATCACATCTGCTAAGTCAGTGAGAAGGGAAGCTTTACTCACAAGTATTGTTTCTGGCAATGCTTGCACTGTTGAGAAGTATACTGATTTAGCAGAGATCTATTTTAGAAAATGGTTCAAGTAATGTTAAATACCTCTATATGTTGTTCTATTCTTTCACATGATGTTTCAAAGTTTGTCTATTTTATACCACAACTGAGAAACTTAAAAACTGTAAAATCATGCACTCTAAAAGGTTTCTACATAAACAATATCTATAACCTAATAAATGAGCATTTGAAAGGTAAAGCATGAGGTCTATTTTCATTATTTTACTGTAAGGGGGGAAATCGGTGCAGAGAGGAAAGAGCCCTCCACTTCTCTACTGGCGTCACATTGGAGCTGGATTGGCTAATTTTAAAGGGATAATTTGCGAGAGGGCTGAAATTTTAAGCGCTGTTTAGTCCTCTTAAATTCCAAAGTGGTTCCACTATTTTCCAAATTGACCTTACACATGGTCCAATTTGTCCTTTACAATTACTGTAGTTATTCAGTTATTAGGCGCACTCGGCTATAAGACGCACCCCCAATTCAGCAACTTCATTACTGCATGTTTTCAAACTGAGAAAATCGCTAAAATACTTGGTTATAAGGCGCACCGTTGTTTGGGGAGTAAAGATCGGTCAAGTTTATTGTAAATTCTTTCATAAACTTACAAAAAAGCAAAAAAATTGCATATTGATTTTAGTTTACCGTTAATCAACAAAAGCAGAATTGTCGCACACACGACCACGCACACAAACAAAAGCCTTGATTAAACAAGATCTACCGCCGAGAATGCAGATCTCAGTGCACTAAAAAGGCTGAAAGGATGAAGATGGTATTTACCTCTTCGCTTGTTTATTTTCGTTTCGTTTTGTGACGTATCAAATTACTGAGCACGTATCACATCTATGCAAATTTGACTTTGCTTGTCTTTTCAGAACCACCATATTCATAAAAGTCAATGTGTGTGTGTCATTTTATTTGCTTGAAATCGTACCAGTAACTGTGATCAAAAAAAATTGTTTCGGGAAAATATTCGCCTATAAGACGCACCCAAACTTTGGCGGTAATTTTTAGTAGAAATTAGGAATTTCTTGAAAAAAACGGT